TAATTTTGGACCCTGTTTAGAAATCTATAAAACACAGAAAGCTGCAATGGTCTAGATAGGAAAACATACAGAATTTATGTGATTTGGGAGACTGTGGCATAGAAATTTTATTTTTTCCCCCTCCATTTACTACTTATGTTTACACTGAACTGTTTAGTTGCAAATATGATGTAAGGTGGTGTTAAGTATAACATTTCAAAGCAATAATATGGAAATAACATTTAACTATTGAAGCATGAAGAATTCTGTCCTATGTTCAGGTTCCTGTCATTCCAACACACTTTTTATGTATGTAGCGCAGATTCTATAATAAACAATCACCCAGCAGTGGGCCAACTGTATGCATTAATTTTTAAAGCTCTGCCCATTTGGTTTATGCACTATAAACAGCCCTTAAAAGGCAAATGAAGGAGAAATCCACTTTCACCACCTGCTGGGGCTTCTCTGTGTAGTTTAGGGATTGGACTGCCCTCATTTGTACTCAATCAATCATAAGCCCTTATTTAACTATCGGAAGTATGTCGCCTTAACAGATGATGGGATCCTGACATGGTTTTGTTGCAGGCTTAAACAAATGAATTAGGCCCTTTGCATACAGAAAAAAGCTAGTTTTAAATTGTCAAATAATCCAGAGTGACAATCGAAGGAAATTGGACTATAATGTTTGTATGTGAGCATTAGTGACTAAGACATGGTATTTATTATCTGTGATAGGAGTGAATTTTGTGAAAGAAAACATTGTTTTTGGTGAAAGGTGAGCTGTTTATCGGGAAAATATGAGGTGTCTATGTATTACCCACATACTGCTTTGAATCAACAATTATTGTTCATTGACCATCACGCCGCCACCATCTAATGGAGAATCATCATCTTGGGGATGATGGGAAATAAGAGGGACTTCTCAATCTGTTGGACTTCTGGCATAACAAATTGATTATACTTATGTCTCATGAATTTAGACAATGATGCCGAGATGTCTTGTTATAAATATTCAGCACTGACTTTGAAGCATTTGTTTTGTACATGAAGTGTCTTTGGCCTTCCATCAAATTCACATATCATGTGGGGATCACTGATGTCAATTTCTTGGACACCTCTATATCAATTGTGGATAATCAAATAGTCTCCTCTCTTTATAGAAAAGACACAGCTAAGAACAGTCTTCTTCATGCTAAGAGTGCTCACCCAATGCCCTTAAAACGTGGTTTATCCTATAGCCAGTTTTTGAGACTCCATCTTATTTGTTCTAAGAAAGAGGATTTTGAGGCTAAAGCCCAGAGCTTGTATATGTACTTTAAATCACGAGGTTATCCTAATAAGTGGCTTGACACTGCACTTGAGAAGGTTTCTAGCTTACAAAAACAGGAGGAAAGAAATTTGACTAGGAATAAAAGAAACAAACATTTTTATGTATGTTTAAATCCACATACAGTCCACTGAGTAATGATATTAAAACTATTATCAAGAGTCATTGGCACATTATCCAAAGTGATCCCCAGTTATTGAATGTATTTAGTGATCAACCACTCTTTGTCTCTTCCAGGAGCTCTAATTTGAGGGATAACCTTGTTTATGCTGACACCTAAATCTCTTCTCCGACTACTCTTGTCGATGCCCAGGGTAATTTTCCATGTCACAACTGTACTTCCTGTACTAAGTATGTTAAATGTAAATCATTTACACATCCTCGTACACTAAAAACCTATAAGATTAGACAATTGATCACTTGTAAGAGTACATATGTTATTTACATTATCATCTGTCCATGTTTACAACTATATGTTGGCAAAACTATACGTGCATTACGCACAAGAATGATTGAACACACAAGTGCCATTAGGAGACAGGATGATACATCTTCAATTTCTAGTCACTTTAATGCCGAGTTCACACTGCACGATTCTAGCCCGATTTTTCACTCGCCGACAGGTTTTGCGAAATCGCCGACAAATGCCCGAAATATCAAATTCACATATCATGTGGGGATCACTGATCTCAATTTCTTGTACACCTCTATATCAATTGTGGATAATCAAATAGTCTCCTCTCTTTATAGAAAAGACACAGCTAAGAACAGTCTTCTTCATGCTAAGAGTGCTCACCCAATGCCCTTAAAACGTGGTTTATCCTATAGCCAGTTTTTGAGACTCCATCTTATTTGTTCTAAGAAAGAGGATTTTGAGGCTAAAGCCCAGAGCTTGTATATGTACTTTAAATCACGAGGTTATCCTAATAAGTGGCTTGACACTGCACTTGAGAAGGTTTCTAGCTTACAAAAACAGGAGGAAAGAAATTTGACTAGGAATAAAAGAAACAAACATTTTTATGTATGTTTAAATCCACATACAGTCCACTGAGTAATGATATTAAAACTATTATCAAGAGTCATTGGCACACTATCCAAAGTGATCCCCAGTTATTGAATTTATTTAGTGATCAACCACTCTTTGTCTCTTCCAGGAGCTCTAATTTGAGGGATAACCTTGTTTATGCTGACACCTAAATCTCTTCTCCGACTACTCTTGTCGATGCCCAGGGTAATTTTCCATGTCACAACTGTACTTCCTGTACTAAGTATGTTAAATGTAAATCATTTACACATCCTCGTACACTAAAAACCTATAAGATTAGACAATTGATCACTTGTAAGAGTACATATGTTATTTACATTATCATCTGTCCATGTTTACAACTATATGTTGGCAAAACTATACGTGCATTACGAACAAGAATGATTGAACACACAAGTGCCATTAGGAGACAGGATGATACATCTTCAATTTCTCGTCACTTTAAGTCTGCCAACCACTCTTTGTCTGACATGACGTTCCTGGGCATCGAGAGGATTCTACCTAATAGAAGAGGCGGAGATAGAGATAAGAAGTTGTTGCAAAGGGAGGCTTTCTGGATCTTTGAACTTAAATCTTTATTTCCTGAGGGTATGAATGAAGAACTAGAACTCTCTTGTTTTTTGTAAAAATTGGTATTGTCGTTACTGCTTTATCTTCTCTCTCTCCTGCTGTGTTTGTTGTATTTGTAATGTTTGGTCATTCTTTGAAGTTGTATACTTGTAAATTTCTGCTATATATGTGAATGATCAAACTTTCGTGGAATTCTGCTTGTGATTAATTGAGGTTTACCTGAGATAATTGAATTCAGCTGATTGTCTTTAATTGTTGACCTACTTAAAAAGGGTGACTGTTGTTTGTTAAGTGAGCACTGAAGATAGCAATGTGCTGAAACGTTTGCTTACTTGGTCGTGTCCATTTTTTTTAATTCACATGCACTTTTGCACAATGCAATTTATAAAAATTAAAAAGATGTTTTTGTAGACTTTTTAGTCTTGAGTGGACCAGTGTGCAGTTAGCCACCCTCTTGCTCATTTATAAATATTCAGCAGTCATATTTAATAAATGAATGGTTCTAGCCATCAAGTCCAGGACAACTGCCTCTCCACATGCATTCTAAACACTGTTTGGTTTGGTATATGAGTTTTAAAACATTTTGAGTAAGTGAAGAGAGCAAAATATAGCACTTTAGAAGTTCAACATCAATTTCAGATCACGTTTTGAGATCATGTATAAAACCACCAAGTTTTACATCAGACTATTACTGATGACAGTTTCATTCAGGCATTCTGTTCTTGTGAAGTATACAGTTCACGGCCTGTTCTTTCAGGTGTCTATATAGAAAGAGTGTGAAATGGTGAAAAGAGCAATGCCATTTACAGATACTGCTTCACTTGTTTAAACAGAAAGCTGCTGAGGGAAACCGGCAGTGCATTTTTGAACGAGGCACTTTTGCCTTTTTGAAGAAAATGCTGGAAAGGCTTGACTGAAGCTTAAATGGCCTTAAATGCAGGCTTTAACATGTGTTAATTTTCTTAAGCGGAGGAAGGAAAAAGTTTCAAATACAAGCTTGTTGTGTTATTATGGTAAGTCTCATATTTTGCAGTAGATGCTGTCATCAGGTTTATATATTTTTATACACACTAACGTTCCTCTTTCGAAAAACATCTCTTGTGGTCACCGAGGCTGCATTTATTTGATCAAAAATACAATTAAAGAGTAATACTGTGAAATATAATTACAAACTAAAATAACTGTTTTCTATTTCCATATATTTTCAAATGCAATTCATTCCTGTGATGACAAAGCTGAATTTTCAGCAGTCATTACGCCAGTCTTCAGAGTGTCACATTATGCTTCATAAATCAATCAATATGCACATTCTAATATTCTGATTGATACATGCTTGCTGAATAAAGGTGTTTGTTTCATTCACAAAAAAAAGAAATAATATACAATATATGGTCAGAGGACATACAAAATAGTGAAGTCACTGAAATGTTTGCCTCTGAAAATAAATGCAGAGCCTATCAGTATGAGTCTGCCAAGTAAATCTCTCTGATATAAAAGTGTTGTTAGATTCCTGGCTGGCAGATTAACTCAGTCATGGTTTACTAGTACTGATTTATTTATTTATTTAATGTTTTATTTGTATAGGGACAGATACATTAAACATTGGGACAACAGCCATCTAATGCATGTATCATAGTGCGTGTAGCAACACTTTTCCCTAGAAGGGCAATAAAAAAAAAACCCGTAATATTTCTGACTTATGGGTGATTTTTTTTATTTTCATGAATTTGAAGTAAACAATTTTATGTCTGGGAATTCAGTAGTATGACAAGAGTCACTTTATAACAATTTCCCAAAGGTTTTTTTTTTTTCCTGCAATGAATGGCCCTGTGTTTGACAGCATGGATTCTGGGAGCTTGTGCCACTGTACCTTTGAAATATTTTTATGGCACTCTGATACTCAAAGTTTATTTATTTATTTATTTTATCTGAAATTTGAAGGTATGATCATCATTAAGAAATACTAGTATAATTAAGAATCTTTTTGTATCATTCTTACACTTGGGGTTTAGTGGCTTTTGTTGCAGGGAAAGTCCATATTTGTCTTACAGTGAATGAATCACTTTTCTTTTCTCTCAGGCTGGTCCCTTAGCTGTGGAGCCATGCTCTGGGAATTGTGCTGCTGTGCAAACATTGCTGATGAGTCTTCCACGGTCATCCTCTGGAGCACCTCCCCCCGGCCAGTGTGGTGAGAACTCACATTTCAACATTCACGTAACATCTTAGCTCTACATGCAATACTTGTGTATATATATATATATATATATATATATATATATAG